TTTTTTATGGATGACAATGCGCCATGTCACCGGGCCACAACTGTTCGCGATTGGTTTGAAGAACATTCTGGACAATTCAAGGAATGATCTGGCCACCTAGATCGCCCGACATGAATCCCATCGAGCATTTATGGGACATCATCGAGAGGTCTGTTCGTGCCCAAAATCCTGCACCATCAACACTTTCACAATTATGGACGTCTATCGAGACAGCATGGCTCAATATTCCTGCAGAAGACTTCCAACGACTTGTTGAGTCCATGCCACGTCGAGTTGCTGCACTTCGCCGGGCGAAAGGAGGGCCGACACGATATTAAGAGGTATCCCATGACTTTTGTCACTTCAGTGTAGATTCAAAATATCACTGGCAGCCGAATTCACTTTCTTTATACCACTTACACTGTCAGCTGTTAATACACTTTGGAGCATGTTTTTTGATGCCGTACCGTTTCCCCCTTCTTCAAAAATCTTCTGTTCAAATTTGAACTCATTGTGACGAGTATTTCTTTTTTTACAACATTTTGAAAGTGAGACTTTAATTATGATCTATTAATTATGGTATATACATAACAGTTAATATTTTTTTGTAGCAAAGTTTTATTTACTATACATATTATGAACTTTGCATATATATTATAGGAAGTTATATATTATTAAAAATTCTTAATAAACAGAAACAGAACACGAATTTGGAAAAAAAAAAAAAGAATTATTAAGTAAATAGTAATAATTATAAAATGTAGGGAAAAAAACCCATTTTGTTCTGTACCTGAAGAGTTAATTTTGGCAGATAAGCATTTCTCATTTTCAGCTAAAAATAAATAAATTCAAAGAGTTAAAAATTTTAGTACGAAGTAAATTGACGAAATGGATAAAAACTTATTAATCAGTTACAAAGCATTTCTATATAATAAAAAAACAATTGCTATATTAATAAAAAAAAACCATTATTACATTAAATCACCATTTTTTATTGTCTTGCTAAAATTAATTTATACATGTAGTGAGTTTAGTATTTGTAAGATGTACTACTGTGTCTAAAAAGTAAGACCACTTTTCAATTTAAAATTCCTGGGGCTTATGGAATTTCAATTTTTTTAATACGCTTTTATTAGGTTCACCTGTATGTTTGCATGTATGTAACTGACTTTTTCCCCTGGAGACGTGTTTCTCCTCATATACACTATTTAAGCTGCAAAGAAACACTTACAGGCATCTTTCAGAAATAAAACAGTTGATTCTTTTTAATACGCTTTTATATTAGTTTCACCTGAATGTTTGCTTGGGACTGACTCTTTGGGCTCGATTTTGCCCTACTTTAAGAGATAGCCTTTGTTTTACTCACAATTACATTATTGTAAGAACTATAGTTCCACTCCTCCATACCGGGTCCTCATTTAAATATTATAGTTTAAAAACACTAAAAAACACGCTTTTAGAGTTAATCAAACTAAAAAGTAAAAAATAATTGTTAACATAAGAATAAAATGACTGACGAGAAAATGAATGCTACTGTTCTAAAAGCGTGGGGTGCTTTGTATGACATTTTTAAACTAACTCTGCATTTCGGAATGAAACTAGTGAAAAATTATAACGATTTATATCGAGCACACCACGCTTTTAGAACAGTGACATTCATTTTCTCTTCAGTCATTTTATTCTTATGTTAACAATTATTTTTTACTTTTTAGTTCGATTAACTCTAAAAGCGTGTTTTTTAGTGTTTTTAAACTATTAATTTATTTTTTTTTGTGGGTTGCTGGCACTGTCCTTGACATCTGTGTGAAATTTGACGTCAAAATATTCATTAGTGTTTGAGTTACGCTGGGCTGTGTCAGACTCTAAATCGCATTCCAGATCCTATATCGGGAAGAAATATTTAGAAGTGGTATAAACAGTTCGAAGAAGGCAGAGAACGCTTTGAAGACGAAGAGCCCTCTTTACGACCATCAACCTCACGTTCAAAAAAATAAAGATTTGGTGCTTGCAAACCATCGATTTCCAATTAGAGACCTTGTTGATGATGGTGGAATTTCAAAAGGATCGGACCATTCCATTTTGGGCCTCAAACGCATAAAATCTCGATTGGTACTGAATGCGCCAGCTCACACTGCATAGATTCTTCGTGAGTTTTTCGCCAAAAATGAAACGAAACCCATATCCTTCCTCAATCCCCGTATTCACACAGTGCAATTTCTAACTACTCCCTAAACTTAAAAGAACTTTGGAACACCGTTTTGAGTCCACTGAAGAGATTCAACATGAATCGCAGCGCGCTTTGAAGGCCGTCCCTGCCGACGACTTTTCAGCGTGCATTGAGAATTGGGAAAAGTTGGCAAATGTGCACTGTGTCCGGAGCGGGATGACTTTGAAGACGATGAAATAAATGTGGAAGAATAAACGAGGAGTTTTTTAAAAACAAAATAATTGGTCTCACTTTTCGGGCACAGCAGCAAGAAAAAAAAGTCAAAGAACAAGTCAACAGCATACTTTCTTTGAGAACATCCTTCAAACCGACCCCGATAGGGACATAGATGGACAGCGCAGCTAAAAGAGACGCATTGACATTGCAGTGTGGCCACGTGGGTTTCAAACATTCCACTGTCTCTGAAAGACCCCTGAAGCAATTAAATAAAATATGTGTTTATATGCGTATCATTGAACAAATGTCATGGATAATTTAGACATTAAAGTAGGACATTTATTGTCAATTATGCATACATATCAATTACATTAATTATGCTAATTTGAAACTATTACGAACACATTTGAATAGGTATGCTAATACTAATTAATTCTTAATTTATCTGATGATTATAGTCTAGATCAGGGGTCGCCAACCCGCGGCTCACCTTAAATATTTTTGCAGCCTGTGAGATTTATCACACATTTACAAAATATATTTTTGGAGTGAAAAATTGTAACATAATGAGTTATTATTCTTGTGCTTACTATTATTCTTACATGTAAACATATATAATATAATAATAATGATACTAAAGGGGCGCATTGTAAAAAATATATAACACTAAAAATGAAATATAAAAAATATACAAACGAAATAAAAAAATTAAATCCTTAAAAAATATTTATTTGACTAGTGCGATATTTGTTTCTCCACTCTTTCACTTTGCTTTTGCAAATCGGGTATTTGCACATCGTAATGGGTGTGGCGTCCGTTATGTTTGAACGTATTTTGTGTTGGGTCAATTTCATTTTAGAAAAAAAAAAAAGATACGCATGTGTAAGTTGAACCAAAAGTGCTAACAACTTCAATTAAGAGCCTGGTTTACTCTGCCATCAACAATCCACTGTGCGTATCTAGAGATGGTCACTGCGTCAATGAGGTCACTTAAAGTGAAACTTAGAACTTGTTATATTTGTTACAAGATGCACAGAATATAATTTAATTATTCTGCGAACTCATAACTGTAAATTCATAAATAAAACAAACAATATCTGTCTTATGTTTGCAAGAATATTTTTTTAAAGTCAATGTTAATTTTTTCGCATCATTTCGACAGTTCATTTTTGAACATATGGATGCATACATAATGTATTTTTTAATATATTGGTTTTCATTATAAAATAAATATAATTTGTTAAAGCTTAATAAATCTCAAGGGCCGGAAGAATATTGAAGGCGGACCGCGGATTGGCCACCCCTGCAGTAGAGCGTTGGCCTGACAACTCTACTTCATAAAAACAAAACGTCTCCTATCTCGAAATCTGCCAGTATCTGCAGACGGCCTTGGTCCACCATAGGGCTGTTGCGCCACTAATAATGATGATGATGATGAAAACATTATGTATTTTGAGCGTTTAGATTTTTTTTGTTTTATCAGATAATAATAAAAGAAACCTAATTCTTAAATTATTAATGAATCCTTACTTTTCCGAAAGTGAAGTATGTCCCTTGAGAGAAGAGTTTAATTGTCTGTACACAACATCAGCGCATCTGAATAGCATTGGGAAGCCTAATCCATAGCAAGGTTTAACTGCAGGACCTAAAAATATTTGTCATTAAAAATTGATTCTTTTGTTATAGATTATTTTTAATGAAAAAAAAAAACTTCTATGAGAATGTCAACTAGTTTGATTTAATTAAAAAAAAAAATCACATTTAATACAGATATATTTCAATTTTTTTTCGTATTGTTTATGTCAGATACAAATATTAGGATATTATTTTATATAATATTGAAATTAATATTTATTATAATATTAAATATTTAAAATTACTAAATTTACTTTTATTTAGAAGTTCCAAAGCTGCCATGTGGGCTGCCTCGTTGAGTCTTCCCACTGAGGCAAGTCACATTAAGAAAGATATCAAATATTTAAGAACTATAGCCAAGGCAAATTTTATTCCAGTGGATACCATCACTCGTGGGAATTTAAGATAACGAAGCAGAAGATTCACTTGCAAAGAAAGCAAACCACGTGAATCTTGGAAAGAAACAAGTTCTACCAGAATCTTTAAAAAAAATATATTCATAGAGAAATTTTTAAGAAAGTGAAAGATAATCTCATAATTAAATCAGAAGGCAGAAAGTGGCACCCTATTCAAGACAGCTGGAAAATCTTTAACACTAGACCACGTAAAGAGGCGGTTGCCAACTTTCGATTAAGAACTGGACACGATTGTCTTGCGGAACACCTTAACAGGATAAATGATGTCCTTGCCTCGAACACTTGCTCAATATGTAGAGCCGGTACAATGAACACGGAACATCTTTTGAAATGTCCAGGACTTAACAGGGAGGCTCAGCTCCGGGGAGAAGTCTTGCAGTTATATTGGGAGGCCAGGGGCCTCATGGACTGAGATAAAGTGTCTACCCCCTTTATTTACTCTCTCCCCCTTTGACTTTTTGTGGTGTGTGAGACCGACTTAATGTCGATTGCTGTCTTGCTGTATATTTGCTTTGTTCTGCTTGTTCCATATTCGTGTGTGATCCTTATCGTAATGGATTGGTTTCCAATAAAGCCATATGTTACAACAACAGATCCATCACCAAAGTCAAGCATCATTGGGCGCGGTCAGTACTTGGGTGGGTGACTACCTGGGAACACCGCGTGCCGTTGGCATTCTCAAATTTGGGACCTGAATGGCAGAGTGTCTAGCGCTCTGGCGCTCGGTGCCACACGTTTCGGGTTCGAATCCCGGTGGTGCCATGGATGTTTACGTACTCGACAGATTTCAATCCCATCGAACATGTGTGGCGTGCTTTGGGTAGACGCATTGCAGCAAGCTTACACCCTCCGGAGAACACCCAACAACTCAAACAGATGCTGATTGAGGAATGGGCACTTCTACCGCAAGAAATGTTGCACCAGCTGGTTCTGTTTGTAGTGGTTCGGAATCCACTTTAAGCCGTAGGTCCCGGTCTCCTATGACTGTAAGAGCGTCACGGAGCCAAAGTCAGACTTCTACCTACGGGTGCTCCATCACAACAGAAGCTGCTTCCTTCCAGTTCAATCATTAGTACGTATGGGCTCGTGGGCTTGGCCAGCCAAGTGGGATAAGAAACAACAACAAATAACAGATCTGTTGATGTGATGTTATGTGAAAGATTGATGTGGTATTATATGAAATATTTTGATGTGGTGTTATGTGAAATATCTCGATGTGGTGCTATGTGAAATATATTGATCTGTTCTTATGTGTTACTCATACAAGTATACAAGTTGATTTCTACTGGTTGATTTACTGAAACTAAAGCTTGCCTATATATGGTATGAATTGGAGTATTGCTCAGGCAGAAGAATAATTCCGAATTATTTCAACATCTGTTTTTGTGCTGTAAGATACAATTCATAATTGTAAACCATATTAATTAAAAATTGTTTCAGAACTTTTGGTAATAAAATTCAATGTTATATATAGATATAGACATGCAAAAATACTTACATTTCTTTCCTTTAAGCCTTCTGCTGCGATCTAATAATTTACCCAGATTTTCTAGATAATCGTTCATTTGATCAAGGTCATTAATTTCGCAAGGTAATTTGTTATTTCTTTTTTCCAACACACATTTAGCGAAGGATTCCAATGTTCTGCAAAATAAGTAATATTGAAAGAGATAGATTGAGCAAGTAAAAACATATTTTTCAGTTTAATTTCATTGTTTGACAAGAAGATATCACGATCTGTTCTGCACAGATATGTGATTCAGACTTATAGAATATGAATGTCTAGAATGGATGGTTAACTGGCCAAGGCAGCAATTCACACTTTTCAATAATGTCTGAGAAAATTGAGTTTGAAAAATGGTCTTTTAAATGATTAATATGTACATTGTTCTAAAGTTTAATTTGCCGCTCTATTTTTTGCGCACTTTAGACTAATTAGACCGGACCTACAATTTAACGTGGATTCGGGACCACTCACAAATATCCACGCCACCCCCAGGATTTGAACCTGAAAGCACGAAAGAGTAGAGCGCTAGCCAATTGGTCACCGGGCCGCTATTGTCAAAACCGTCCGTTTGTGTGTACTTCAAGTTAATTAGACCGGCACCTACAGTTTTACGTGGATTCTGATCCACTCGCAAACATCCATGCCACCGCCAGAATTCGGACCTGACGCCTGCAGTGTTAAAGGCTAGGGCTAGAGCCAGTTGACTACCAGGCCGCTATTGTCAAAGACAGGTAAGGAAAGGTACAGTCTATGTATTTAGAAGTCTCTTCTATTACATTAACACGGTCTATCTAAGGTATACTTAATTTTCTTTTATCTTTATCCTTTACATCACCCACATTATAAATATTATAGAAAAAATATAGGAACTAATAGTATTTTTTACTAGAAACATACACTCAAGAGCCAAAGTATTATGACCACCCCTACATTTTGCAATGAGCTCGCCTGGATGACGTGGAAGGCACGTGATCAGGTGGAAGCGGTATTTAACTGGTATTAAGTGGTGGTATTAATCCATGGCAAGGCGGGTTGAAGCTGTGTTGCACGCCAAAGGTGAGTCATAATGTTTTGGCTCTTGGAGTGTATATATATTGCATTTCGTTGTCTTATCTTTTCAAAAAAAAATCCGTTGTTCTTTTCTACTTTTATTTTAGTTGAATGATATTTTGTTGTGCATGAATTTCTCAAGTTCCAATTTCTCAACAGCAATTGGCAAATAATTATCATAGGTAACCCATCCCAATGGACTTGCCCCGTGCAGTTTTTACAGTTAAATTTCCGACTCTCGACAGGGCACGATTTTCTTAATAAACACTTGCACCGCACTGGTGTAGCTACTAAGGGTGTCTGTCCTCTGTGCTCGTCAGGTGAAGCCATGGACTTTTTACATTTGACAACATGCACTGCTTTTGATTTTATGACTTTTAACTCTGACAACTTTACCAAGGCTAAATTTCATTGGGCTGCTATAATTCTTATGGTGGATATCACTAGTTTGATGTAGAAAAAAAATAATTACAATAGCCAGAAATTTATCCTTCTATTACAACAAAAAATTCAATTTGTAATTCTATTTTCAATGTTTTTTTTTATACTTGCGACGGACAGCTGCGAATATAGGGAATTAAGAATAGGAGGTTCAAGTAGATAAAGTATTTAGACGTTGTACTTCAAGAGGTCTGAGTATTTGTCGCTCCAGAAGATGAAATTTTGTCTTTTACTATGACGGTGAAAGAAAATTATCTTTTAGGAGGATTTCAGGATAATTGTTCTACACTTGATCGTCATGTTAGAAGAGATCAACCAAATTCCAACCAGACTGCTATGCTAGACACTGTAGCATTTTTTTCTAACGAGGAGAGTTTGAACATTTCATACCCAGCACTTTTGAAAAATATATAATAAACCCGTCACTCAAATTTGACAGCAGACGAGTTTTATCGTGGGTAATTGTATTACAGGTAATTAGAGTTTTTGTACTAATGAGAACAGCCTGTCACTCAAATCTGATAGCTGATATTCGGTGTCATGTATAATGAGATCTCAGGAAATTAGCGATTGTCTGTGCGACCCTCACAGGTCGAAACAATTACAGATGGAATATGGACTACATCATGAGTTGTTCCATCGTAATTATTGCTCGACCATGAGTTGAAAAATGTCTATTCCAAACAGAAGGTAGGTGATGGAGAGGTGGTGATGGAAGCTGCACCCCTCCTTCTTGACGGATTTTCGTAAAGGGAGCTTTTTCTGCGAAGAGTCGACAAGAAGTGTAGTTTTTCTTTTTTCTCTGAACTGACTGCACATGATAGCAAATATTCGGTATCATGTATGATAAGGAAATTAGCGAATGTCTGTGCGACCTTCATAGGTCGAAAAAATTACAGATTGAATATCAACCAAGTGATATATCGTGAGTTGTTCCATCGTCATTTGTGATAGACCACGAGCTGAGAAATGCCTACTCTAATGAGAAGTGAGAGAAGCTGACGGATTGCCTTAAAAGGAGATTTTTGGTGAAGAAGAGATAGAGAGAGAGAGTTGTACGACCAATCGACCAAAAGAGTTTTTTTTTTGTTTTTTTCTCTGAATTGTCTGAATAGGATGGATTTTTATTCTGTTTCCAAAATGAGCCCCTTGTGGTTTCGTGTATCACGTCGTGTGATAACTAGGTCTGCCGCAGACCAGTGCATAAGATTCGTCGTAAACTTAAGAACTCTGAAAATCTCCGTCCTTGGAGTAAACTGCACATGTGAATCAAATTATCTATAATTTTCATTTTTCATTCAATTCCTTCTATTAGTTCACACTCTCCCTATATATATCTTGTTCAAATTTTCAATCGTTCATAAAATACTTCTTATTCATCTACTCAAGTTCAAACACATTTTTTTTGAACTTGTAGAGGATGACACTGGATGTTAATACAGTTTCTTCAAATATTATTTCGCTTATTAAATTTAATTAATTAATTTTAGTTTTTTTTAGATCCAAGTTGCATGTATCTAATAATAGATGGCGCTAAATGTAAGAGGAAAATGTCAACTTTTTTAACTTAAAAAAAATGTAATAAAAAGTAAAATTATTTATAAAGGACTTTCTGCGAAGTGAAAAAAAAGTAAGAATTGACTTAAAATTTTTTTTTTATGTTACTTGTTTGTAAATAGAGTTCTGTATATATGCATATAATTCCTGTAAATAAAAATTAAAGTGTTCCCATGTAACTAAAAAGGGAAAAAAGTAGTACCGCGCATCACCAAAGCAATTGATTTTCAGTAACAAATGCCTCACATCCCAACTAGCACAAGCTTTCCTAAACCACGAGTGAAAATCTGAATGTAATCTTGTAATGTAATTGATTATTTTTCCTTACCTTTCTATCCAGTTATAGTTACAGTTGGTTCCCTCGAAGTGGATTATCGTTTTCATTCTTATGTCTTGACAACTAAGAATAGTCTCGAAGTATTGGTTATAGTGATTGCTGGAGCAATGGTTCCGTGATTTATCAGCTAAAAAAAAAAAAAGTCGAACTTGAATAAATTTCACCTTCAGTAAGAAATTGTAAAAAATAATTTAAAGTATTTATAGTAAATAAATAATCTATTTTATTGCACTGATCACTATGATGTAATAACAAACTCTTTCTTGGTAGCTACGATTTTCCCTTTGCGTGCATCGGATACATTCCTGCTGTGATTCTCCCTTGATCAATTGTGGCCTGATGTCCAATTGGCTAGCACTCTGGCCTTTGGTATCAGAGGCTTCAGGTTCGAATCTTGGCTGTGGCATGGGTGCTTGTTAGGGGTTTGGAATGTAGGTCTCGGTCTAATTAGCTTAATGTGTGCGCAAAATGACTGTAGAGCGATAAACCGAACCAAACCCTTATTCAATTTTTCTTTTGTTGTTGATCTTAGTAATGCTGGTTAATCCAAATTTTTCTCGACATCATCATCAATGGTGCAACAGTTCCATTGTGGGGTCAAGGCCGTCTGCCTATCGGCAGATTTCGAAACATGAGATGTTTACTTTTAGGGGATATGATTGTCAGTTGTTTAAAGTGGATTCCGAATCACTACAACCATCCATGGTACCGACCAGGGTCGAACCCGAAACCTGTGGCAGGAAGTGCCAGAGTGCTAGTCACTCGGCCATCCGGCACCCA